CGCGCAGTTCTATGCAATTTTATCATACACCACCCCAGGGAAGTTTCTTTTTATAGAAGTATTCCAGTTGCCAAAGAAGGAACACTAAAATTGGAATATCTCCATTTTGCAACCTCCAACGAAATAATGGATCTGAGTACTCATAACAGCCTTAACAACTGTTAATATCTCAAAGGGAGAGAACATGACATCCTGTGCCTCCTGATGACGAAATACAGCTATGAAGTATTCTTACCCAAAAGATCAAACCCAAAACTGAGCACACCTCAAAAGTCAACTCCAAGTGACACACATTAATAGTGAAAGGCAAAAACCACATGATCCTCCTAACCGATTTAGAAAAAGCATTTGACAAAATGCAACACATTTTCATAACAAAAACACTCAACAAACTAGGAATAGAAGGAAATTAACACAATAAAGTCAACATGTGAAAATTTATGTGCCACAGCTCACATCATACTCAATGATGAAAGAGAGAGAGAGAGCTTTTCCTAAAATCAGGAACAAGGCAAGGATGCCCACTCTCGCCACTTCTATTCAACATAGGATTGGAAGTTCTAGCCAGAGCAGTTAGGCAAGAAAAAGAAAAAAAAGGCATCCAAATTCAAAAGAAAGAAAATATATCTGTTTCCAGATGGCATGATCTTATATGTAGAAAAGTCTCTAGATTCCACACACACAAAAAAAAAATGTTAAAACTAAAAAAGTGAATTCAGCCAAGTTGCAGGATATTAAATCAGCACACAAACATCAGTTGCTTTCTATATATGAACAATCTGAAAAAAAATAACAAAACCAATTCCATTTACAATAGCATCAAAAAGAATAAAATACTAAAGAATAAACTTAACCAAGGAGGTAAAAGACTTGTACACTGAAAACTACAAAACATTGCTGAAAGAAATTAAAGAAGACAAACAATGGTTTGGAAGACTTAATATTGTTAAAATGCCCATACTACCCAAAGCAATCTACTGACTCAATGCAATCCCTATCAAAATTCCACTGGCATTTATGCTGAATAGGGAAAAAAAAATCCTAAAATTTGTATAGGATCTCAAGGGACCCTGAATAGCCAAAACAATTTTGAAAAAAGAAAATGTTGGGGGCCTTGCACTTTCTGATTTCAAAACACATTACACACAAAACTACAGTAATCAAAACAGTGTGATATTGGCATAAAGACAAACATACAGACCAATGGAACACAACAGAGTCCAGAAATAAACCCTCGCGTATATGGTCAAATGAGCTTCAACTAGGGTGCCAATGGGGAAAGGACAATCTCAACAAATGGTGTTGCGACAAGATACCCAAATGCAAAAGAATGAAGTCAGACTCTTACTTTACACCAAATACAGAACTTAAAAGGGATTAAAGGCCTAAAACTATAAAACTCTAAAAGAAAACGGGAAAGTTTCATGACATCGGATTTGGCAATAATTTCTTGGATATGACACCAAACGCACATGTAACAAAAAGCAAAAATAGAGAAGTGGGACCACAACAAATTTAAAAACGTTTGCACATCAAAGGGAACCCCCTCTCTGCCACTCAGGGAGCCTCACCCGGATGCCCCAGTCCCTGCCCCCTGTGAGAGTCCTCCAGCCAGTTTCCTGTCCCTCCACCTGCCGCAGCCTCTGAAGGCTGCCCCAGAGTCCTCCAGGCGCAGGGACTTCTCAGAAAGCAGGCTCTCCCATGACGGACTTTCAGTTTCTCATTCTTGGCACAGGTCCAGACTCACCTAGCCCCACCCACTTGTGCCTTCTCAGGCACAGTGGAGATTCCAATTTCCATTTGCCTTTTCCCTTTACACCCATCTGTTGGGACTGCCCAGTGAGCCCGGCTAAAAGATCCACGTGGCCGGGGAAGCAGTTGCACTTTGGCCATGGCTGTGCTTGGGTCTTGGTGCTAGTGACCAGGGTGCTGGGCTTGGCCAGAGCAGGTCCTATCCCCACTGCCCAGCCCACCACAACCAGGAGGGGCTGCCATATGGGTAGGTTCCAATCTCTGTCACCACAGGAGCTAGAAGCCTTCAAGGTCAAGGACACCTTGGAAGAGTGGCTGCTGCTGGACAACTGGAGCTGCAGCTCTCACCTCTTCCCCAGATCCAGGGAGCTGAGGCAACTGCAAGTGTTGGGAGCACCCTGTGTGGCCTTAAGGCTGAGCTAGGCCATGGCAGACTTGCCCCCAGGGGTCATCCTGGACCAGCCTTCCCACTCACAGGCTGCTGCACCACATTCACTCCACGCTCCAGTGTGTCAGGGCTCAGCCTGCAGCAGGCCCCAACCCCTGGGGCCAGCTCTGCAACTGGCTGCGCCATCTCCAGCGGGACCCAAAGAAGGCGTCTCAAGGCTGCCTTCAAGGCCTCTGTCACTTTAAACCTCTCCCCACTCCCCGCTCATGGAACCTGAAATGTGCTGCCTGTGGAGACCTGCACACCTGAGAACATGGTCCCACCCCAGCCCGGCTGGGACCAGGACCTTAGTTACACACCGCCCTACCCCGGCCCTATTTCCTCTCACCCCTTATTTATATGAAGCTGCAGCCCTGACTCACACACACAAAAAAAAAATGTTTATTTTTCTACTTTTGTAAACAGTAAGGAATTGGAAAAAAAGAAGTGCCAACTACCAATTTTCAGGAGATGGAGAGAACAGAGAAATATGTTCAACAGCAGCAGGGCTGCAATAAGCAAAATGCAGACTTGGGCAAACTCTGAGGGGCAATCCAGTTTCTTCAACACAAACATTCAAGAAAAAAGAAAGATGGAGCCTCTATACTCTATAGGGACGGTCTACAGAGTTAACGGTGACTTCAAGAGCTAGTCACCAATTGCCATGTGGAAAACCTTATTTGGGCCCTGATGCAAACTTTTTAAAATAATTTATAAGACAACTGGACATGGGGACAGACTGGATATTGGTCTCTATAAAGGAACTGTTATAAAAATTTAGATATGATAATGGTACTGCATTTTAAAAGTCCTTATCTTTTAGATACATGTGCTGAAATGGTCACAGGTGGAAGAGATGTCTAGAATTTTGCTTCAAAGGAATTTAGGAGTAGGGAAGTGGATGGACAGGCAGGAGGAAACCAGGCTGCCACAGGTTGGTAACTGCCAAACCACTGGAGCTGGGTTCCATGTCCAGGAAGGTTCATTATACAGTAATACCTTGGTTTGCACATAATTAGTTCCGGAAACCAAGTACTCATATTGCAAGACATCGCTCATTTACCATGTTAATGTATTAGAGGGCTGGCCAAGTGGCTCAGTTGGTTAAGAGCACACTCAGAGTGTGAGAGCGCTGAGCAACAGGGTCGCCGGTTCGATTCCCACATAAGCCCGAGCTGAGCTGCCGCTGAGCTGCTAACAGGTGGCAGGATGGCTCAGCTAAACAAAAATATAAACAAAAAAATAAATAAAATAAAAAATAAATAAAAAGTATTAGAAATGTCTGCTTGCCTTGCAGAACACTCGCAAACCACGTTACTCGCAATCCAAGGTTTAATGTATTTCTTTTGTAAATACAAAGGCTTTAAAAATGAGCAAATGGGGAAAAAAGTGGTTTAAGGAAGATAACAGCATCAGGGACCCAGACCCTTCCAGCCACTGCCCCACCCTGTTCTTCACTTGGCGTCCACCTGAGTCTCATAGAGCTGCTCCATGCCTGCCAGCACAGCCGCTCCAGCCGAGGAGGATCAGGGTGGGAAGGACACATCTTAGAAGCCACACAAAGCACTTTTCCATCCCAGGGACCACACACAGTCATATGACCATGACTGGCTGTAGGAGAGGCTGGGAAACGCAGTTTTTATTCAGGCTGTCTAAAAATCAGGGCTTCCATTACCAAGGGAGAAGAGGTGAGTGGAGATCGGGGTTCAATCCAGCGTCTACCACAGCTCTCATCCCTCTGAGATTGGCACAGGCATGTGGGTGCCACAGATCGGCACTCGGAGCTGGCAGCAGAGCTAATGTACAGCTGGTAGGCCTGATGATGTTTAAATATGCTTGTCATTTACATAGACAAATTAGGCAATCTGCTCAAAGTCTCCGCTCTACTTTGGATGCAGAAGTGAGTGTCTGACTTCCTTTACTCTCCCAGGCTGGGTGTTCTCTAGGAAGCTGCTGTTCCCAGCAGCCAAGATGGCAGGTGCCATTTCCTATGCTGTCGCTAAAACCAAACCCAGCATCTGGTCCTTGGTCTGGCCCGAGGCCTGGATATTTGTTCAGCCAGTGCAGGAAATGGAGAAGCCTGTTTTCAGTTTCTTCCCCAGCAGCTAAGTCGCCTCGTGGGGGCCAGCCCAGCAGAAAGGTCGGCACTGTGGGCAGAGGCCCTGCTGGTACTTAAGGCAAGGATGTTACAAACCACAGCCGCTCTTACAGGACCCTTACAATTTTTGCCATATGTTCTGAGTCAACCTTCATTTCAAAAAACACTTTAAACTGCTTTTTAAAGGAATCTATCGTTGCTATCGACAGAAAGGCAGTATGGCCTGCCCTAAAAGAAGGTAACTGAAAGCCTAGCTAAGAGTCTGCCAAAGCCTCTGAGCCCGACACCCACTTTCTCTGTGTTCAAGACAAGCGAGCCTTACACTGACTTCTTTGGAGCATGTAAATGGATTGAAAGAATTAAAAATGGAATTAATTATTTTTTTTTTAGTAACATCCTTCAATGTTATTTAATGCCTGTCAGTCACCACCAACAGTCATTTCTCCGGGAGTGTGCAGTCCCACTGCTGGGAAACATGCTGAACTCGGTACACATGCTTCCCGCCTCGGTTCAGTGGAGGTCATGACAGTACCACCTTCTAGGAGTACTGAGGCTGTTATAGGCGATCATGCATGTAAAGTCTCAGCATATAAAGTGCGTGGCTCACAGTGTAAGCACTCCAATGCTGTCTATTGTCAGTTTCACAGAGAAAATGTCATTAAGGAACTAAACATAACTTGAGGAAAAAAAAAAAATGAGCAAATCAAACTTCAAAGCAGGAAGGCGGACATAAAACCCCAAACACTTTTATTTAATAATGGAAGACACTTTATTATTTTTTAAATCATCTCTTTACATTTCAACTCTTGGTAGAAATCAAATGCAAAACATCTGCATTTTTAAATTAGCATATATTTTTCTCAGTCACAGCAACCTCATACAGTACGATACACACCAAAGAGGAGCATGGTCAGAGCGCTTCCTATTCCAGTCCATGACACAGTATTTCCATGATGATACGTACACTGGACTCTCTCTGCTAAGACGAGTCAGTCGTTCCTGCTTTTGTCTACTACGGATAAGTTACGTGGCATCACAGTTGGTTAAAGAGTTACTATAGTGCTGGAGCGATCTGGAAATGGAAAGCTAGAAAACTAGAGCTCTCAGGAGTGGGACAGGCATTGACACTTCTGAAATGTGAAAAGGAAGAACATCAAAGATGAATGCCCAGAATGGGGTGGTCTCAGTAATAAAGTCAGTTGAAATTCAGCTTTATATACACATTGGATATCTATAGATGATCTACTCGATATATAAAAAAAGAGCCATAGAAGATTTGAAAAACCTTAAAATCACTCAACTGAGTTGGAAGGACATCAACAAACTCACAGTGGCCTCAGGATTCAGCCAGATTTCAATTTGCTCAAGAGTTGAATACCCCCTTCCACCGACCGGAAAACCCACTGCATGTAAATTCTGGTAACATTCTGTACATCACAAACACTTATGGCTAAAATATATTATTAGTTCACAAGGAAGCGGTTTTATTTTCAAACTCTTGCCCCACTCCTGCTCTGCACCCCAAAAGGAAAATCCGGGGCTCAGTCACTCACAGGAGGAGTCTAGGGGGCGTTCGGGTTTGGAAGTGCTTAGGCTCAGCTGAGAATCTCAGGAGACATCTGTCTGATGGGCGCACGCCAACTCCTGCCCACCTTTAGTGCAAAAAGATCGCAAATGGTGCAGAATCCCGGAAACAGGCGAAGAGAAGAGGACTGAGATGGGAATCCCAAATGAGTTTCCTTCTGAAACGAGACTCAAGAAGTCTGGAGTGCAAGCTTCACACTCAGCAAGTGGCAAAGACCAGGCTGTCGATCCACAGGTGAGGTTCCTGACTCGTCGCGAGGTTATCACAGTCTGCAGGTGCACAGGCCTCTCAGGCCACACTCACCCCCAAAGTGCACACTGGAGGTAGGTGTATAGAGATTTATTGTAGGGAAGACAGTGGCTCATCACCAGCTCAGAGACATCGTCTCTGTTCCTCCTCTGCCCCCACTCTACCTGCGGGCTGGGGCGAGTGGGGGACACAGCAGGGAAGGGCATGAGACCCTCCCCTGGAAGACTCAAGAACTTAGGGCATTTTTATAAATAGCTACATAATGTTTTTAACCACTTTGAACACACAGCAAGTTGAATATTTATTTAAAAATAAATCTCAAAAATATCTATTTACAGTACAATAGGAGGGGCGTGTGCAAACGACAGAAAGGGGGAAGGCAGACCTGCTGTGGAAGGTCCGCACTTCAATGCGCTGGGGCCAAGTTCACAAACATGGGCTGAGCTGAGCTGTGGTGGCAACAGGATGACATTCAGCTAATACTGGACTCGGTTCACTTTGAAACCTAGAGAGAGGGGAAGGCAGGGGCAGCGAAGGGATGAGCCATTGGAAGAGGCCCAGTGTGGCAGGAGGGCTCATTTCACAAGCCAACAGGCCTCAAGCTCACCGCTCCAGGTGGGCATTGGAGGTGACCTGGAAGGCCCTTCCCAGTCCAAGTTGGCTTGGCGGTGGGAGGGGTAGGTGCGGCAAGAGTCCCCGAGATAGAAATCCTCTTTAAGAAAAACAAAAACAAACGGAATAGGGAGTGATTAGCGAAAATGAATCCGAACGGAAGTGCCACCCTCTCCCTTCTCAGGTGACAAAGCAGCCATCAGTTGAAATAACTGAGTCACTAAGTGAGCTCCCACATGGTGCAGCTGACCCACGATCCCCGGCAGCTACATGGTCAAGTGCACATCTCTGCTTCCCAGATCTATGCATTAACACTTCTTCTCCAGAAACCAGAAAGGTCAGTGGTGTAGCCCTTGCAGCAGGGAAGTACACAGTCCAGTCTATCTATACACGAAATGGGAAAACTGGGTGGACTTGTAGTTCAGCTGGTTGTTGGGCATGAACTTGTGCAGCTCGCTCTTTTTGCAGCAGGGGTCGTAATGATAGGCGATGAGGCAGGCATCGCAGGAAACTTTTGAACACTGGGTGCACGTGTTGGTGGCACCTGGGCGATTACAGAAGCCACAGCGGGAGGTGGCTGCGGCAGAGGGCTTGGATTTTGCATGGAGGTGCGCCAGCCGGTCGAGGCCCTGGGTCTGGCCTGCATACTTCTCCCTCATAGAGGACCCTTGGGCAAGGCTGTCATGGGCAGGGGCCTTGCTGGAGAAGGCGCTGGGCTTGGAGGCCGGGGGACAGGCAAGCAGACTGTCACAGCGCTGGCAGATGGAGGAACTGCAGGACAGGCCGCAGTTTTGGCACTTGGATAGGGCGGACTCTTTGGTGGGGGGTGAGCGCTTATGGTAGAGGGGGTGGGAATCATTTCTGACCAGCCATACATCTGGCCGCAGGGCGTCCTGCCTCCGGTATGTGGCCCTGGGTTCCGAGTCTGTGTACAGATCCACGTCATCCTGAGCGGAGACGTACGTGCTGCGCAGCAGGCCAAGGCCATTGCTGGGGGAGGAGGATGGAAGGTCATCCGGGCTGCCATGGGGGGAGCTAGACATGGTCAGGAGTGAAGGGGACGGGCGGATGATCTCATCCTTGAGGTCATCCCCCAGGTCTGCTGCCACGGGCTCCTTCCTCAGGCTCAACGAGGTCTTCAGGGGCGGCTTCCGGCTCTCCCAGTAGCTGTCGTAGGCGTCCACAGACCTTGAGGGCTTGGTCACGCGGGGCTTGTAGTAGTCCTTGGCTGCCCGCTCGCTGGCCGACTTCTGGAGAGCCACACGGGCCATCGAGGCCGTCAGATGCTCCCGGCCCTCAGCCCGCCGCCGCAGGGCGTCCGAGCAGCCGCGCGCGTCCTCTGTGCTGCTCTTGCGCTCCTTCACCACGTCCAGCTCAGAGTAGCCCTTGTCCTTGACTTGCGAGTGGATTTCCAGCATCTGCTCACACTCCACCTTGGCCAGAAATAGTTCAAAGGAGACCATCTTCACCTGGAGGGTTTCTACAAACTCCTTGAGCTTGTACGCAGTCCCCAACTCGGGCACGTAGCCCATGTAATTCAGGATGGTTCGGATGTCCTCTTCCAGTAACGTGGACTTGACGTAATAAACGAAGGGGCCCGTGTAGGTCTAGGAGAAGGAAGCGGGGTCAGAAAAAGAGGCGGGACTTCCTCTCTGAGACACACGAGGGAGACTGCCTCAAAGCCCAGTACTTCCAAGTCTGAGCTGGAGCACGGGGCAGAAATGGAAGGGAATGACCTCAGTAGCTTCTCACTACAGAAGGCAATAGCTCAGCGACTGGTGTGAGGGAAATGACACATCACTCCTTTCCTAAGCACAGGGAACAAAGCCATTAGCTTTCTACGTGGGGCGCAGCAGCTCTGCTCCTTATGAGGAGGAGGAGGGCAAACTCGGTGAAGAAGGGATTGGATCAGAGGCTGGTGCCTAACGAACGCTGAGAATGTTCCTTTCTGGCATTTCTACAAAGGTCTGAAGAAATCTGTCAGACGTAAGTGCCTGGCTTGGTGAGAACCCTCCTGAGCCATCGCTGCCTTCAGAATGGTTCAGAATTCTCTCTCAAATCCATCCTCCTCACCCCCTCTCTGTTATGCCTAGACATCTGCGGCAGCCTCCCAGCTGCCCGCCCCGCCCCACTCCTGTCCCTCTAGTTTACTGCCCAAACCAGCCAGAAAAATTCTCTCCAAACAAGAACCGATCCCAGCACTGCCTCATTTCCCAGCCCATTTAGGACAAATCCATGTCCTCTGCCCCTGGCTTCAAGGCCCTGCACAACCGGGGTGCCGCCTGCCTCTCCACCCTCCCAGCTGCAGATGTGAGCTGCCAGGGGCAGGGACCCAGTTAAGAGATGACACTGGACAGGCAGGCAAGGTGGGGAGTCACAGGGTAACTGTGGTTATTATTTCAAAGGCAGTGGGGAACCTGGCCGGGTCTGCGGGCAGTGGGGGGATGAGATCAGACTGGCACAAGCCCTCTCAAGAGGGACTCGAAGGGGCAAGAAAGCAGAGGGAGACCAACGTGGAGGGCCCTTGCTCAGGCCTTACCTTGATGCTTCTGAATTCCTTCTTCCATGGGTAGAGGAAGAGGTTGACGCCCACCGTTTCCAGCACGCTGAAGGCACAGTGCAAAGCCCGCAGGCTGGAGGCGCTCAGTGTGCGCAGGGAGCTCTCCACCACCTCATAGAACTGGATCAGCCGGAATCGATAGAAGGGATCCACCTTGTGCAGGCTGAGCAAGGTGGAGGCTGCCACCCGCAGGTACTCATCACTGCCAGGCCACTGCTTGCTGGGGGTGGTGTCCACTCTGCCCTCATGGAACTGCACATACTTCCGAAATAAGTCATCCTTGTATTTTGTATCCATTGAACTGGGCTTCCCCATCCGACCCAGGGACGGGGGCTACCTTATCTCCTCCATGGCTTCCGGGTGAGAAGCAGGGACATCGCTAAAAGCACTGACATACTGCCCGCCTGGACCAGCAGCGTGCTCTGGAAGGGGGAGAACAAGAAGCACATCATTCCTCGAAACAGTCCGCATGCCTGCTGTGGCTGCTGAGGCCAAACAGAACACAGAACTGGCCTGAGGACACGGGCACCACCAGCCCTGGGCCCCGCTGTGCCCATTCATTCAACACATTTACTGAACATGGACTATGTGCAAGGTTATCATGGACACCAGACAGATAAGGTTCTTGACTTTGTTGAGCTCACAAGTGAAAAATATGATTTGGGGCACCTAACCTGGTTTTATGGGGAGAAGGAAGCATTTTGAAAAGCCCCCCTGAGGCAGCGACGGTTAGACCTGAAGGATGAGGAGTGTGCCAGGCAAAGAGGTGGGGAAGGGTGTAACAGGAGAGGCCTCGGCAGGGACAAGGCCCCGAGTGCTCACTACGTGCCAGGTACTTACCGTACTAATGCATTCCCTCATTTCAAACAACCCTAGAAGATAGGGACTGCTGTTATCCCCATCCACAGATGTAAAAACTGAGACACAGAGACGTTAAGAAACTTGCCAACAGTTACAGAACCATTAAGAAGCTGCGATCAGAGCCCTGGCAGTCTGGCTCCAAAGTCCATGCCCTTACCCACCACACCCTGCTGCCCTAAGGCCGGAAGGAGCTTGGCCACGAACAGAAAGCAGCCTACGGGGTGGCTGAAGCGATGAGACGAGCGACACGAGGTGAAGCTGCAGGCACAGGCAGCAAGCCGCTCCCAAGGCCTCAAAGAGCATGCTAACAATTTTACATTTCTTCCCAGAGCATGTGAAGCACCTGCCTGAAGAGTTCAAAGCAAGGGGAAGAGGGACATGATCATATTTGTGATTTTAAAGAGACCACGCTGGCTGCTGGCCCCTGGAGAGCGCTTTCATCCACCTCTGATGGCCTGCATTCCCCTTTACCTTAAGGGTAGTGTACAGTTCCGTTGGGAGAAGACAGGAGGTTCTGAGCTAGGACACACAGGATCTATATACTCCTGCTGTCTGCTTGGCCACCCGTTAGTAGGACATGTACAGATCCAGTGATAGCCTGATGCCACAATACGGGGAGCGGGAGCACATGGGAGTCACTGAGGGGTGTTACCAGGAGGGCAGGCAACAAAGCACTGGGGTGACAAACAGATTCCAAAGCCAGACTGCCTGCATCGCTATGTTATTTGGGAAAATTACTCAACCTCTCTGGGCTTCAGTTTTCCCATCTGAAAACAGGGTTAATAATAGTACCTAGAGTCCAGAGCTGGTGGAAGACTGTGCTATCAGTACACAGAGCTCTTCACAGAGTCCTGGCTCGAAGGAAGCCCTTGGTAGACAAGCAGCCATTCCTGGTGTCTGAAGGTGCTAGACTGCCCCAAGATGCCAAGCACTCTCAAGAAGGTAAGATCACAGAGGGACAAACATCTCCAAGCACATTTCCACACTCGCCTGTCCTGCGTCTCCTGACCACAGCTCCATGGGTGCGGGGACCATGACCCCACTACTCAGTAAAGTAACCAAAGCACGGGGCAGGGGATGTGCTTTCCTAAGTGCCTGCTACCTGAGTGAAGGAGGCTTCTTCTGGCAGTGGGAGATGGCACGGGACCAACAAAGAAGCTGCAGTGGGATGGGACGGACCTATAGAGTCCCTTAGCAGATCTGAGTTCAGCTCAGGAAGTCCTAAAGGCCTGCAAGCCTGGCCACTATCGTGAGGTCAACAAAATCATCCACATCTGATTGAGCCACAAAGGCTCACATGGTCAGACCACTGCTCACCTCACAGGAGTCTTTCCCTTCCCTCTAAGTTCCACCCACATGGACCTTTCTGTCTGTTCCTCAGACACGCCAAGCTCGTTTCTATCTCAGGACCTTTGCACATCTTGTTCCTTTTGCAGGTTCTTCCTCTAATTATTCCCACAGCTGGCTCACTCTCCTTCAGGCCTCAGCTCAAATGTCATCCCTCAGAGGCCCTCCCTCACAGCCCCAGCCCAATAACTCCCACCTTCCCAGTCCCTCCTGATCCAGTTTTCCTGGGATAATCACCACCCAAAATTATCAGCTTTACTTATTAATTTACTGGCTTCCTCTCTTTGTCCCCCCACGTTACCCAGTGAGCGCCACAAAGGCAAGGACTGTATCTGTTTTGTACACCATGATGCCTAACACAGAGCCTGGCCCTTAGTAGGCATTTGATACAACAGATGAAATGAATGATGAAAAGGATGTAAGCTTCATGGTGCCACCCCTTAAGTTTCCCATTAGCTCTCCCAAGAATCCTGGGAGATCAGCTCGAGAGAGAGAAGGAACAGAGGCCCCGTGACATGACATGCTCTGTGCAGCTCAGGGTTAGTAAAAGGTGGACCCAGGAGTCCAAGCCTGGCCTTCTGACTCCCGCACCCCTCGAGTCCTGAGTTCAACAAAGATGTATGCACCATCTATCTTGTGCCAGGCCCTGGGCTGGGTGCAGTGGGGGGTATGGGGTTAGGGGAACAGCAGTTGAGAAGACATAGCCCTTCCCTCAATTCTAGCTGAAAAAGCTTACTGTCTAGTATCAAAGTATGTATGTTCTCTTAAAAGATAAAACTATATTGCAACCTGAGAGAAGACATCATTGTCCTTGCTAATAAAAACCCATATGCATTTACCACTTTTCATTTATCTAAGCAAGGCTTCCATCCTGCCTCTGGCCCCCAAGGACTATTTTTTGGTACACCCGAGAACAATTTAAACAGAAGGACATGAAGCCTCCTAAACACTGCTGTGAGTTTTCTCCAAGGAAGTCAGCCTCGAGCCCATGAAGGCTGATATTTTTTTGTTTTTGTTTTTTTTACAAAGTCAGCCACCCTCAAGCTCAGCGGCTGCTGCTCTGTAATCACACCACAATCCACACCCTTGTTTGTTGCTGGCAAACAATAAACAAGGGGAAAAAAATCCAAATAGCCCAGCTGGTATTCAAAATCCTAAAGTCAAGGATGGGAAACCCATCTAAGGAGAATCTTGAATCAACCTAGATAGGTGAGGAAAAAGGTGAAAGAAATTAATTTTAAAAGATAACTAAGGAAAGGAATGAGAGAAGGGAACTAACAATTACTGAGGTCCTATGTGCTAGGCACTGGGCTTTCCGCTTCAACTCCATCATCCCACTTAATCCTCACGACATTACGAGAAAACCAAGGCTCAGGCGTTAACCTGCCCAACAGAGCTTCACAGGGTGAGAACTGCAGTCTAAACTTGGGTTGGCAGGCCCTGAGGTCTGTGCTTTCCCCATTTATCTCGCTCATGTATTGTTACAATCAACACCATTCACCGAGGGATTAGGACATTAATACAGGGCCATCTGATGAGGCTCGATGAAAATCAATGAAATCCACACAACAGCCTCAAGGTTAAAGAGGAAACTGAGGCTCCGAGAGGCCAGTCACAAGGCTAGGAAAAAGTGGATCTGAGATCTGAACCTTGGTCTGAGGCCAAAACCTTGACTCAAGGGTCTGGGCTGCGCTGCTTTTAAGCAAAGCTGCCCTGCTGTATCTGCTGGACAGCTCTAATTGAAAGGGCTCGGCTAAGCTAGGATGCCCTGTGGCCCTGTGAGCGGAGCTGAGTTCCAAAAATTCCTGTAGTAGCAAAATTCACATCTTCCCACACAGAATGGGGCTGGAAGAGCCACAAAGCTCTATGATGTAAGCTAGAGGGCTAAGGGAAGACGCTGGTCAGAGGCCGGCCAGTGGTGAAGGAGCTGACATCATCCATCCTGAATACATTTTCTGAGAATACAGGCTGCATTATAGCTGGTCATAGCTGGTGTCTTTTCAGAGCACAGAACCAGCAATTTATTCCCAGTACTCTGCAAGAACCCAAACACGCTCACTGCAAAAACAACGTGCTTACAGGAGACCAGACAGCGCAGTGACAGAGCTGTTAATTTCTCCAAGCAACCCAAGGACTGGAAAGCCAAGATGTGCCAGTCTGGCGGAATAAAAAAAGAAAAAAGAAAAAAAATGGCACTGTGAACACCCCTAACAGAGTCAGGCAGGTGCCCTGAGCCAACAGGCCTGGTCAGCACTACCTGCACCCACAATCTGGGCCCCCTTTCAAAAGCAAATCAATGAAGAGATAGATATTGCAGTCAGGGAAGGGGGTGGCTTTTTAATTATTTTTTAAACATCTCAGAGGAAAGCTGTATCTGTTTAAAACCCCACTGAATGGAACTGAAATGACTCTGGGGAGCAAAGCATTAGCTTGGCTTTACCTCAGCTGGCCCATTCAAGCAGAAATGTTCCCCAAGCAGCATTTGAAGGCGCCCCCTCCCTGCACAGGCAGGAGCTATTTTGGGCCCAGCACTGCCCCAGTCCACAGGTTTACAGATCCCTGGTCTAGCTTCAGCGGGCTCAGAGTTCCTTCAGCCTCCAAACAGCAGCGGGGGGCGGGGAGCAGTTCATCCCCCACCGCACCTCCGCACCCCACTCCTTTGCACTCATTCCAAGCCCGAAGCTCCGGAGAGACATCCAAGGCACCTTCCACTGGCTGTGAAACACCAGAGGGTCCACACACCCCAACCAGATTCCAGAGAAATTCAGAGATAGGCCTTCCAAACCTCTGAAAATAACCTCGGCAGTGCTGAAATGGGGCTTCCCGAGTGGCAGCTGCCTCTCCGAGGGGCTCTGAAGGAAGCAGTTTCCCCTCCCTGCAGGGGACAGAAGCTAGCGGCTGCCATTCCCAGCCTGGTAAATTCCTACAGCCTCCGAGGGCCACGTCAGTTGTGAAAAACACCCTAAACCCAAACTCGGGCACTCCCCACGGGTCTGTGAATGAACAGCAGCTATCATTTATTGGACGCCTGCTGTATGCCAGAGCTTGTGCTTCACACGCATTCTCTCTCTCCATCCCCACTACGGTCCTATCAAGCAGGTTTACTCCATTTAACTAATGAGTTAGGCAACGGAGGCTCAGAAGACGAAATAACTTGTCCAAGGTCACACAGTGAGTACAAACCCAGGTCTGCCGCCAAAAACTGGGCTGGGGACCACTGCGTGGTAACTGCCTCTCAATGGAATCGGGGTGTCCTCCTGCTTGGTTAGTCGCCGAAGAGGGGGTGTTCCTCCTGAGCTGCCCTGAACCACATAACAGCTCGTCCTAGGTGTCTGTGAAGCAGCCCTTGGGGGAGCAGGGATCCAGAGAACAAGCAGGGACCACCAGGGCGCCGAAAAGACAAGCCCGCCAGTCGCCCCGGCCGGCCAAAGGGGACCCCGCTCCCCGGCCGCCGAGCCCCGTCGAGTCGGGCGCCCCCTCCACCCGGGGAAGCCCCAGAGGCCGTTCCGCCAGTGGCCGCCCACACTCACCTCAGCACTGCCGTGGAGGACGCCCCGGCCGAGGGAAGCAAAAAGGAGCCGAGGCAGCCGCCGGAGCTGAGCCCGGCTGGGCTCCCCTGCTCCAGCCCGCTGGAGGGGACCGAGACCAGTACTCTCGAACCAGCGGCGACCCGGAAACACTCGCACAGGAAGTGACGTCCTTCGGAGGCGGGCCCAAAAGGAGGCCGAGCCGCGGCTGCGCGCTGGGCTGGGGAAAGACCGAGGCCAAAGGGCAGCGAAGGGAAAAGCGGCAGACAGAAGGAACACAGAAACTGCAGAATCCCACTTGGAGCACTAACGGGACGCTGACCGGGCTGGGGCTAGGGCCCGGAAATAAACGGGCCGGAAATGACGCAAGCAATCAGCCCCGAATGGCAGCTAGCCGGGTTGTCATGGGAACCGGTCAGGAGTCGGACGGTGGAGTCTCGAGCTGCGAGCACAGACGGAGACTTCGGGTCTCTGACTCCCGGACTTGACCCTCGTGGGGATGATCCCCGAGCTGTGCTCCCGACTGCGCCTGGGCAGGAGTTAACAACTGAATCCCTCACTACCTTTTTTTAGGCGGAAATATCTAGGCTTAAAGAGAGTAAGAGATGCCCAGTATTACAAGACGGAATTCAGCCTTGGGAGTACTGTTAATGTTACAGTTACAGGCTGTTGTTAAGAGTGGGGTCCCAGCTTTGCCTTTGCCACTTACTAGCTGCGTGACCTTGGGCAAGTTACTTAACCTCTCTGAGCCTCAGTTTTTTTTCACCTGTAAAATGGAATAATAATAGTACCGACTCCTGGGATTCGTATGAAAATTAAGTGAGTTTATATAGGGAAACCGATTATTACAATAGTTGGCATATAGTAAAGATCTAAATACATTTTGCTTTTTCAATCTGGTTAAGTCCAAGGAAATGACTTCTCTCTGCCCTCAACTTCCTTAAACGGAAGTCGGTGTTGGGGAAATCCAAGCCAAAATATTGCCTCCTCGCTTTGTGACTTTTCACCAGACACCTGCAGTACCTGCATGGTGTGTCTACATTGGCATCGATACTGGTGGCTGGTCACTTCGCTTGGCTTTGTCTATACTCCCACCTATCGCGTTGCCCGTGAGCTCGCCCAGGACTCGGTTTTTGTGGTTCATCACTTACTGAATCCTTAATGCTTGCAAAGTCGACTGCTGAACACATCTGCTATTGAACCATTCATTCTGTCTCTCTAACCTACCCCAGACATTTATTGAAGACTCAGAACCCACTCCGTGCCAAGTTCTCTTCCTCCAACACGCTCTTGGCTTCCTGGACTTAACCATACTTTTCTACCCTTCTGGCCTCTGTGTCTCTATATGCTGTACCTTCCGTGTGAACATCCTCCCCCTCACCTTGTCCCTTCCTTGCATTCTTGGTTTCCAGCCCCAGCTCTATCCTCACAGCCTTTCAGAAGCGTTCTCTGATTTCTCCAGGCAAAGACCTGCCTTTCTCTGGTTCCCCACAACACTGTCTTTCATAGTTTTATCTAAGCTCTTATCACTGTGGATTGTATACATATTTTTACACACATACACACACACACACACACACACAACCTGGAGCTCCTTATACATTTGTGTTTTTCCCGAGCTTTGAACATGTCTGATCATGAGGTGCCTCATAGGTGTTCCTTGATTGCAGGATTCTCTCTCTCAGCCTTGGTGTCCCCAGCTAAAGCTGGTGGGTCTTGTCTCAGGAGTCAATGACATAATACAGAGGGAAGTATTTGAGTAACCAGCAAACTGCTATTCAAACAGCAGCAATTACTATATTTATCTGTTGCTGTGTGAGCACCCCTTAAGGTCTTTGTGCACATCAGCCTTTATCAGCTCATATTTAAGCTTCTCTCTTAGCCACCTATAAGGTGATCATGTTTACAGGAATTCCAGCTAAGAAACTGTCCCACCCGAACTCTTTGCCTTTGCAATAATTCAAAACTGTCCTTTGGAAACTGTTGCAAGACTGCATGAGACTGCTAGTAAGTCCCTCCAGCTCTGGTTCTGTGACAGACAAAAGAGAAACAGATTTTTTTTTTTAAAAAAAAGGCTTTACCAGTAGATAACCCTGGTCATTGAGACTTGGTGACATTTTATATCAGGAAAGACCCAAAGTCTCCGAAGAGAGCCATGTTTTTCATCTTTTAGACAGGGTCGAAGGCCCGAGATTTCTCTGCTTCATGATGTGGAATCACAGGAACATCCTTTTCAGATTTATTACATAATGATTAACAGATTATATAACAGTCATGTGCCAATGATTAGCTACCTCTACTTCCTAAGAGCTAACGACACAAACCATCTACCTACTTCTTTCTATTTTTTAGGGTTGGTTTTTTTTCAAACCACAAAAGTAACGCGTGAATTCTAACAATACAGACGTGTGTAGAACAAAAAAAAGAAAGAAAGAAAAGCAATCCTATGACTCAGCAATTTGATTTTTTAGAATCTACCAGAGAAACAAGCCTAAGTGCACAGGAGACCTATTACATCATTGTTTGTAATTCAAAACAAAATCCAGAAACATTTTAAACGTCCATCAATAGGGGAATGGTGTATCCATACTTAAGACTACTGTGTATCACTTTAAAGGATCAAGTAAACCTACTTAACTCTGCAAGACATATGGTGAAATAAAAATAAATAAAAATAAATAAAGACATACCCTGAAGTGGAAAACAAAACATCAGCAAATACTATATATTTTCTAAGGGTGTGTATATATGTATAAAGTCAACTGGGGACAATAATGCACATATAGGTCATTTGTTTTTTAAATAATTTCACAAATACACATCATATGACTTTTATTAATTTCTTTCTCTCTCCCAGAAGTCAGTAAGCTCCATAAGGATGTAGCTATATCTATTTTGCTCACAATTATGTCACTACTGTCTGCCATATATACACTACCCCACACAGTATTTCAACAGTATTTGTTTCTGATGGAAAATTTCATTGAAATGCTAAGTTGGATGTTAAAGGGCATAACTCTGAGCAAGACAGGCAGCTGCTGCCCTCAAGGAGTGTACAGTCTCCTTATCAAAAAGAGAATATTAATAAAATGGAAGTAGGGTGAACTAAAATCCCTTAATTCAGAATAGAAGGTGGTCAATGTTATGAGAGGGGTATAGAGCTTAGAAAATGGAGCAGTGACTCTGGCAGGGCAAATTGGGGACAGCCTCAAGTAGGAGGGGGCAGTTGAGCTGGGCTTTGAGTGAGTTGGACATGTGAGGGCCCCAGCTTTCCTTCTAGTTAGAGGAAAGAAAGCAATCAAAAGCAAGGACTGCCTCGAAGCATAGGAGGTGGGTGTTACTAGGTACTAGAGTACTATAGTCTCATATTATGTAGTACTGGAAATTAGTAGTAATGTAGTCTAACATACTACCTGGCTCACAGTAGTCATTCCATAAATACTCTATTGAGAAAACAAATATTGTTGAATCCCCCCCCACCATGCTTTTGCTGATTGTTTCCAATTTCCCCACTGATTATGATCAGATATTCAGGTTTCTGAAGGGGAGCTAGAAGTCCAGATGTTTAAGTGAAACTTCTCAATTATTAACACCATGTGTAAATATACTTCCTAAGTTCCATGTGCTGAGAGAGCCTACAAGAAATGACACCCCTGTAGCAACAAGCACCTAGCACCCAGATCTTGCTTTCTAAATACCATTTTCCACTAAAAAGAACCAAGGCTCCTTGGAGAAATGACTGATTGTCAGGGCTGAGCCAGGGAAATTATAATGTGAGCCTGAAACATCTTATTGAGCCAGAAAGTAAGGAAATGCCAAAAGAATGATGGGACATGTCAAGAGAACATAAAAGCCAGGTTGGAGGGGTTCCTATTGGCCAATCCGGGACAATTTGAACATCAAAATAAATAACGATAGTAACAGAGTATAATACCTTCGTTGGGGGTAAGGAGAAACCATGATCCCATACTTATACTGAACATAAAATTAAAACATAAAGTACTGTGTTTTCCAGAGGTATGTGTCCAAGGGCTACATGGCCTTTGGTGCCAGGTCTGACCCCTGCACTAAGGATGAAATAGAAACAAGTAGTTCATCTGGTTGGAGATAAGAGTGCACAAGGCAAGCTGGGGAATCGGGGTGATGGGAGATCAGCCCAGTCTCTGGGGACCTGGAATGTCAGGCCAAAACTCTGGATTTGACCCGGTGGGCACCTGGGAGCTACTGAAGGTATGTGAACAGGAGAGATGGTGATCACAGCCTTTGCTCTCCAAACCAGGTGTTTGTCCTGGGAGATAACAAGGGATGGTGGACAAGAAATCAGCTTTTAAGGTCCCTAGAAACATGGTACAGTGGAACAGAAATGGCCCTGCAGCCAATAGACCTGGGTTCAAGTACCTGGCACAGCATTTAGTAGCCCTGTGAGTTGCGCAAGGCCCTCTAAGAGGCTGGGCTCTGGACTGTCCAGAATGTCTGGGTTCAGCTTTGCTGTTTACCATTGTATTTATGACCTTGGGCAAAATGACCTAACACCTCTGTGCTTCGGTTTCTTCATCTGTGAGATGAGAAAGATAACAGTAGCACCTACTTCCATGCAGGTTGCAAGGTGAGCACTTGGCATAGTAAGTACTCATTAAGCATTAGCTGTTATTGTCAATCCTTTTTTATGGAAGGCGATAGCGCATAGAAAGAATGGTACCCAGGGCCTGGAAGGGAGTAAGCCTGCAGCTAATGTTACCCTCTATCATTGTTGTGTAACATGAATTTGCTGGGGGCTAAGAATTCTATCTGGTTCTCAAAGCTCAGAATTCATTCTGACCTCCCACTGGTGGAGGCAGGGCTGGGGGCGGTTAGTAACCCCAAAAAAGCCTCTTGTCTTCCATTGAAAACTGGCACAGTTAGCCTGCTTCACAAGCAGTAAGAAAGCCTTTTCCCCCCTTGTTCTCTCAATATAAACCCTACTGCCAGTCACTTCAAAGTCTTCTCATCTGCCTTGGAAGCCACCCCCCAAGTCCAAAGGTAACCCAGCTGGCTAAGGGCTGTTTATTAGCAGGATCCACCCAGCTTAGCCCAGTTTCAAGGAAACACAGCTCAAGGGGCTGTATGTCGAGATTCAGCCAGCACCTCATCTGGATAATTCTAAATGGCTCCTGAAAACAGTAACCCGGAGGTTAGAAGCTCCTGGTGTGTACTGTACTGGACTCTTTAAAGTATTGGTTTTCAAAGGACTATTTGCTGGAACTGGCCATCTTTGTCCTTCCCTTGAAGCAGGCCAGGGAAAGCCACA